TTGGGCCTTCAACGATGGCGATTGGAACCCTCTTCAATCTTCTCCTGGACATTACAATGAACAAGTCTTTCAGGTAAGTTTTGTTTCAGCAATTTATTTAACATTTTAACTTGATTTCATTTACATCACTTGCTTAAACATTATATACATACACATATATATGTACTATTCATTGTAAACATATTTTTGAATTTTGAAATGAATCTGGATCAGGGACTGGATTTTGTTGTAGCAGAAGCTGGGAAGTACAAGGTTTATCTGATATTAAGCTTGGTGAATAACTTCGATGATTTTGGAGGAAGAAAAAGATACGTACAGTGGGCAAATGGTAGCGACCCAGATGAGTTTTATACCAATAATCGTGTTAAAGAATTCTACAAAAACCATGTTCAGGTCCAGTAACCCCTGTACGATCTATATAATATATATATATATATACATATTATGAAGACTGATTAGCACTTGTTTCAATCTAAAACGTTGATGGTGAACAGGCAGTGCTGACGAGAAAGAATACGATTACCGGGGTGACATACAAAGACGATCCTACTATTTTTGCATGGGAACTCATGAATGAACCTCGCTGCAACGATCCCTCCGGATCCAAAATTCAGGTCTTCTTTCTCTATATATTTAACATTCATTTTGTACTTAATTATCTTTAATTTACATTTATTTCATGATTTTATTTCGAGACGAAAAATTAAATAAAAATTAATTACAGATATTAACGCATACATATACATCGACATGGTTTCCCTTAATTAGTGCAGGTAATTAAGATGATATTAGAAGGGTCCATTGTAATTTACATAATCCAAAGGAAGGTGTCAATTTCTATCAATTATGAATATTGTATGTATGAGTGTATATAACTCAAGATTAAATAAAATTGTCACATCTGATGTGTGTGTGTGTGTGTATATATATACCTTTCACTACCACCAAAAAACTATATAAATATATATTATTGGAAATTAAGGAAAAGAATGGATGAATTAGATTAACTAGCTTATAGACTCTCAGAGAAGACGGAGGAGGAATAAAGTAAAAGGCAATGCAGGATATGGAATAAAAACAAGAAAACACGAAGGAAAAATCCAAAATTACATTTATGGCATTTAATCTAAGCACAGCCTTACATGTCCTTTTTTTTTCATTACTACTTACTCTGGAATATTCTTCAAGCTGGACTCTGAAACTGACTCTCTCTTTAATCTAACTTTTTTATCATTTATATTTCTCATGATTGTGACTCAATGCACTTGTTTCTCTTAATCTGTTACTGAATCTTTCTGGGTTCAGTTGATTTTTGATTTATATATATTTCTAAAAAGTAAAATGTTAATTTTGTATAATGTATTGACAGGAGTGGGTTAAAGAAATGGCAGCACATGTTAAGTCCATTGACAACGATCATCTATTGGAAATAGGGCTTGAAGGATTCTATGGGGAATCTGTGCCGCAGAGGAAGCAATCCAACCCTAATACTGCCATAACTGGAACTGATTTCATTTCCAATAACCAAATTCCTCAAATCGATTTTGCCACTCTTCATATTTACCCTGAACAATGGTATATATACCCTTCTACATGCAATGTAAAATTCTATATAAACTCAATTCTCAATAATTTATTCAAAATTTTTATCATATGCAAGTGAAAATGAGCAGTAAAAACATAAGGCTCATTATAGATCGATTGTGTATCAGGCTACCATGGGAAAAAGCAAGTGAAAGCGAGCAGAATGCTTTCGTGGACAACTGGATCAAAGTCCATACTCAAGATTGCAATTCAGTGATCAGAAAACCAGTGGTTATAGGGGAATTTGGTAGGTCTTCAAAGCTATCTGGGTTCACCTTGGAGAAGAGGAACATGTATTTCGAGAAGGTTTACACTGCAGTCTATAACAGTGCCAGCACTGGAGGCTCATGTGCTGGTGCTATTTTTTGGCAGCTAATGACAAGAGGAACAGAGAATCAGGGAGATGGGTATCAAGTTGTTTTGGAAGAGAGCTCTTCAACTGCCAATATCATTACTCAACAATCTATCAATCTCTCTCATCTCTACTAGGGTTTGATAATACATAAAACATAACATACATACTGTAGCAACAAAAACCAAACATATGTTATGTCATTGTTCTTTTAGTACTCTTGATCTTGAGATCTAAAAATGTTGTCTTCTGTCTTTGTATTTATCAATGTTTGAAACAGCTAATCAATATATATACAGTACCAATCATTGGAACTCCCTCCAGGGAAAAGGCTGATCTGGCTTGCACACAGCTACTCGAATATTTATTCATATATTTCTCCCATAATGTTTTAACGAAAACACAATCTTAACTTAAATTTTTCGCGCATGGGCATCAATTGAATGATCCTTGTAGCCTGCTCCTTCTAAATCATCCCTAAATTATTGTCCCATCTCTTATCATAGAATTTTTTGTGATTACAGTAATTCCAGATCGAATATAGAATCCTTCAGATGGTCTGTCTGCCTCTTCCACATTCTGCAGTTTAACAAAAAGAAAAGTAGCAAATTTCTTTCCCTGATCTACTTAAGCATATGTGGAGTAAGTGAGAGGGGAGTAAATAAAAATTGGAGTTTTCCATTTTCTGGCAGGTACTATGGGTTAAATAACTTACATCCTTGTTATAAATGATCACATTCTTTCCAATTCTGGCATTCATGTCAATTATACAATTCCTGCAGGATATAGGTATATATCATATCTACTCGCTTGAAATACACCAAATCTAGCACATTGTGACGTGAAACAAGATAAGAAGGAAATAAATAGTTGTGATGACAGGAGATCAAAAGAGTTCAAAGTGATTTCACATCAGCATGCTGTGAAAGAACAAGTTTCCCATTGCCAAATGAATACAAACAGAATATTGAACGTATTTCTCCAACAAGATTCAGATCCTTGCAATTGTTATATTATCTTGAAATGCTCTAAACCATAAAAAAGTAGAGTAAACTCACATTATTTTGGTATATCTTCCAACACCTATTGGAACTTTTCCCTCTGTCAAATGGGTTGCTAGCTCTTCCTGAGTTTCATAGTCGTCAGCACCCATCATCAGAGTATCCTGTAGAGTGTTATTGGAAACTATAATACCAAATAATGGAGCAGTAAAAAGTAGCTAACTAATTGTTGTGGAACCTATCGATATAGATATACTAAATGCATAGGCAAATTCAGTTCTCAAACTTATTAACTGGTCACCTGCTATAGCTTGCCTCCTGATTAAGGACAGTAAGAACTTCCTATTGGAGGTCAGTAGCTGACTTTTTCTTTTTTTCTTTTGTGTTTTGCTAGTAGGAGGACCACATGTAATAGAGTATATAGATTAAAGTTTTGGATAAGTGGTCAACAAAATCAATTATTTTATTTTGTATTAGAGTTGGAGTTCAAGAATTCGTATCTTGATTACCCCATTAAAAATGGTTTCTACTGGTCACTTGTGTTAGTAAGCCATCTGACTTAGTTCTTTCACACTCAATTTTCCTTTTCCTTTTGAGAAAAGTCACCTTACTTATATATCTCCTATTTGCTATTTCTCCTTTACTGTTGACCAATCTGCATAATCTCCCAAATTATATCTTAATTAAAAACGTGGCCTTGAAACACTTAACTTCATTTCTTTAGAGGTTACATGATATTCTGAGTTACTATACACATTTCATACTTAGCTTGACATGAAGTTACGCTTGCTTATTTTAGAAAAAGAAAATGAAGTATGATGAAGAAGAACAGTAACCTTCAGCACCACGCCCTGCTCCAGCCTTGAGCGAATACCCACAATAGAATGTTCAACAGTGCACTCCCTCAGAAAGCACCCATGGGAAATTATTGAATCCCTTATCTACAATAGACAGGAGCCTCAAGTGATTTATAAATGCACTAAAATAATCATAAAAAATAATCAATCTTTAAAACCATACCTGGCATCTCTCTATTTTGGTTGGTGGTAGAAATCGGGGAGATGTAAAAATTGGCTTTAGTGGATCATATAAATGGAGTTTTGGAGGCTTCAAAAAAAGAGCAAATTTAAAGGCATTACCCCTTCTGACAAGGGATTCATCACAGTGAGATAAATTTTAAAGAAAGATACCTGCTCTGTGAGAGCCAAATTTGCATCAAAGAAAGATTTTATGGTTCCAATATCCTCCCAGTAGCCATTGAATAGATAAGCCTATTATGAAAAGAGTAATTTCTGATTCTTAGAAATTTTAGTAGAATATTCGTTGAAACCCACAAAAGGATAGAGTATAATCAGCTCAAATTTATCTTTTCTGCTTTCTGGAGCAATAATCAGCTCAAATAGAATTCTTAAGTCTTAAAAGATAACATTGATTAAACAAGTACTGTTTTCAGCCCTAATTGCACCCAGGTGAGCTGAGTGTCTACCCGAACATTGTAATCTTTTGCTGCCAGTGGTAGGAC